GCAACAAACATGGAAGAGTTGTCAAGTTTATCGGAATACGTTTGTGATGGTTCCCACACTCATGGTCAAAGCCGGGGTACTGCACTGAAGCTTGCAGAGAACTACACATTCAAGTTGACTGACTTCATCCATGATTGTTTTCGTTCCAGAGCTAACCAGGCACAAACCGCCAAGAACAGGAAAAGGTTAGCTTTGCCCGCCATGAGCCGACGTTCTGAAGATTCAAATTTGTCGATTGCTGAAAAGATGAGCGTGCGGGCTCTCAAGTCGGCCGGTTTAAAGACCGTGCCCCAACAGAGCAACATGTCGGAGTGGCTTGCTTTTCGGAAGTGCCTTGATGTTCAAGGGGATAGGCACGCAGGGTGGGAGGACATCTTTTCTACGGTCCTCGCTTCGTCAACCATCCTGGCACAGGGCAACAGGACAGAGGACCTTGAGTTGGCTGCAGGATTCATGCAATGCTTCACTGCGCAGTCTATGTCAACTGACGCCCTGACAAACGTGCCGTGGGCAAAGGAGATCCGCCATCTGTCCGAGCTCGAACATGACTCGCTGTGGGATCTTAGCTTGCCTACTGAGTACGTCCCTGGGACATCAAGGCCGGCGATAGACGTCGTGCCCACCATCTATGTGGTGACTTCCGATTCAACTTTGGCTCTGATCACTGGAAAGGGTAAGACTTTGAAGAAGTACACCTTGAAGGAGGATCTGGGATTGCGAAAGTCGGACATGGTTCTCGAAATCGGTCATGACATGCTCTGGGGTAAGGATTTACAACAGCTCTGCAAAGCAAATGTTTCCATGATCAAGGAGCTGATGGCAAAATATTCTTCTCATGGATCAGCCATCAGGGTTATTTCGGTAATCGTTTGGTCTGGGAACGAAATTTGTGGGGAACATGGTGTTGAACCCCTTCCCATTTGGGGGCAACGGGAACCAGGGGGCGACTGGAATGCCATCATGGACAGGGTCAAAGGCAACATCGTTTGGTGGAACAATCAGCTCAAGGAGTTGGGAGTGGATCAGGCCGCCCTAATCGGCGAGCCCGACCCGCTCACTTATGGATTGAGCCTCATCTTCACGACGTTTATTGATCGTCTGAAGGAATGGTTCCACAAGGAGATTGCCAGTGACAACGATCGGATTCGGTGGATCAAAAATGACATGCTTCCACCGAGGCTTGAGCTCAGGGACTACTTTCACGCGTTCGAGACCGAGCTCAACCGAAGTGAAATGATCGGATATGTCATGGCAACTCTCCACATGTTGCACATGACGGACATTTTGATCCCTCAGTACAACCTGTCTTTGTACAAGCGCAGGCGCCCTGCAGGTGAAGCTACAATGCGTGATGTCCCACCAAAGATGGAGCACCTTCCAGTCAGGTTTGTGCAGGTTCTCAACTCTCTCCGGGAGAAGGTGAACAAGCCTGCACCGAGCGTCTCGACCCCAGAAAGCTTTACAGCAGAGGAGTTGAGGGATCGCCCGACTGATGCTGGTGTCGCCGAAGACGATGATGAAGAAGGCGACCCATGGGATGCTCTGGATCCCGATGAGCACGAGGGCCCATCTGTTGGCAAAGCCAAGGCAAGCCACGAAGCTCCACCTGACCCCAAGGCGAAAGCTCCAGCGACACAGGAGGATTCAACTCAGGCCACCTCAGCTGGTGAGCCCCTGCAAGAAAACGAGATCAAGGGTACCATCATTCCGAAACATGCATTGGGACACCTTGACAAATATCGTATCACTTTGGACGAAAACATTAATGCAGAAGTAGTTGAACATTGTGTCGTTGACTCCCATCCCTACGAATTGATCGTCAAAACATGTTGGGAGATGGATGGGGCAGAGCAGCTGAGGTTCCCAGATCGCATGGACCGACACAAGACTAAGGTCAATGCAGTGACGCGTGGACAGCCGGGTCAGGACACCTCTGGATTTGATGAAAACATGTGGCTTGACCTTGATGACTTCTTTCGGATGTTCAACCAAATGCTGCCAGCCAAGTTGCCCCGAATGACTGTCGAAGAGCTCATCTCATTGCTCTACTGGGACAGCAAGTGCCGTTTTGAGTTCCAGTGCATTGCCGGGTACCAGAAGGCAACCCGTAAAGGGTTAGCCTACTGGCCCATCAGGATCCGTGCAGTGCAGGGGCATACGAAACGTGCCATGGATGCCGCTTCTGCTGAGGACACGTTCAATGCAGTGGAAATCTATGCTCTGTCTGGAGCAGCAGCGATCCAGAAAATGAACGCCAAAGGTAAAAAGATTACCACTCCTCAGATGTGCCCTGGCGTAGTGTATCACAGGACTACAAAAGGCAATTGGAAGGGCATCATTGAGAATGGCTTCGTGGCTGGAGGAGGAGAACGAAATTCATCAGGCAGAGCACACTCCTATTTTAGCGAAGTGCGTGTCGACGAGAAAGAGTATGTGAGCGGTTTGCGTGCTGAACGACCCATTGAAATCAGGGTTGCAATGGCTGAAGCTGTCAAAGCTGGAATTGTGTTTTTCAGGACAGCCTCCGACGGCATTCTTACAAGTGACGTCGTCCCGCCGCAATACATTATTTCTGTCGATGACACTGCCAAGAAGGTGAATTTGTATCGTCGCCATCAGGAGGTCGCGCAGTCTGCAGCGAGCAGTGGGGGAGAAGTTGGAGTCCAGAAGCTTGTCGAGACCTTTGAGGCCAAGGCATCAACACGGGCTGGTTCCAAGTCTCCGGCCGCCTCAACTGGCGCGCCCACTGCAACGGCATTTTTCCCAGGAAAGGTGAAGCCTCCGCCACCAAATGTGGCCCAACTTGCCGGTATGCCTGGATATGCAAGCAGCAGATTGTTGCCCCCTCCTCCGAAGGGTGAAGCTCCAAAGCCTCCTGCAGCAAAGGTTGAAAGCCCAAAGACACCGCCAAAAGTACCTCCAAAACCATCACCGAAGGAAGGGACTTCTGCACCTCATGCACCAGAAGTTCCAAAAGCTGTGACCTCAGAAGTTGATGCAGCAGCAAAGGATGAACCTGCAAAGAAGAAGGCAGCCCTGACAAGCGTGCCCGCAGCTGTACCTGCGGCATCATCAGCTGCGGCCTTCTTGGAGCCTGTTCCAAAAGTTGCACCACCAAAGGCAGTGCAGAAAGATCCAAAAGCTCCAGTTGCAGAGTCACCCAAAAAGACGCCAGCATCAACATCAAAGTCACTGGTGCCAAAGCAGAAGTCTCGCCCTAAAGGCGATGACCAACCTTCGAAGAAAGAGGTGAAGAAGGAGGAAAAGAAGCCGGTGCCGGTCAAGATTGAAGTCACGCAATGTTCAAGATGTTTTGCACAGACTTTCAAGGGACAGATTGAGTGCGATGTGTGTGGTTTGATGCTCGAAGGGATCAACAAGGCCGACCGAACCAAAATTGCAGAACGTAGAAAGGCCGCCCTTCACAAGCTGGGCTTGTACTATGATTTTCGTGGTGAGTACCTGCAGAGCATCACACACAGCCAGCTTGAATCCTTGGGTTTGTTGGACGATCAGGCAAGAGGAAGCTCTAGCCCGGAAGCCGGTTTATTGGCAAGGGCAAAGAGTCGTTTCGACCGTGCCTTGAGTTTGGGCTACGTGTCTGTGGCTGACAGGTTTGCACAGGACGCCACATTCGCAGAGAGTGTGCTGAACGAGGGGGAGAACGAGTACGATTGTGAAAGGTACGACCTCCTCAAGTCCGCGCATTTGCCAAAGCCTGGTCGCACCAAAGCTCAGGTCAAGATGGGTGTTTCTGAGCAATCCCAGCTGGAGCACAATGCAATGAGGCTGGTTTACTTGGATTTGGCAAACCGTCATGACGTCCCGAAGTCATTCAGGTACATCGACCAGCCATGGTTCTACATGTACCGAACCGAGATCTACTCCGAAGAAGAGTACATTGACTACCTCGGCCGGAATCCTGGACACAATCTTTTGTTGTCTTGCACTGGTGTTGACAACATTGCTGTTCATGATGCCGAACGTCATTTGAGGTGGATTAAGGGACAAAATGAGGAGCTGTACAAGCAGAACGCAGCAGAGAAGAAGAAACAGTCTGACAGGGCCCGCGAACAGAATGAGGCCAAGCGCAAAGCTGAGCAGACTGGTGCGTACGGCCAAGGTCCCTCCAAGAAAGGCACCGCCAAACCGGTTGCCCGACCATCCACCGTAGAGGTAGCTTCATCATCAACGTCTGCAAGTCAGTGGATCAACCGCCCTCAGCAAAGTCAGTCCCACGATGATCGCCGTTACACTGGAGAATGGCAGAAGTGGCATGGACGCTGGTATGAGAAAGTCATCAGGCATGGCCGAGTTGAGTGGGAAGAGGGATAAGTTGTGACACTGCTTGCATCGACGATCGGTTTTTGTATCATAGCCGCCGAGTGTGTTTTCCCTTGGGTTTGCAAAGAGCAGGTTCGGTGAGGCAGGTCTTAAAGACATCGCCCTGGTAAATGCGGCATCCTCGCCGTAACCGGCTCACCTGAGGGGGGTGTAAAAGCACCTCACACAAAACACACATGTATAATAGGTATGTACGACAGCTGTGCGGCTCAGTCTAAAAAGGGTTTGGGCCGCTTTGCTTAACGGTTATTTCCCCACTGTTGTTTAGGTTTATCAGTCTATTTGAATAAGTAAATTTCCCCGCTGAAACCTGAAAATACAGGAAGAAAAATCCCTTCAAGTTCGTCTTGCAGTTGTTGCAGTGGCCTATCAAACAGCTACAGCAGCGGTTTCGCTGTACATCGTGTAGTCGTGTAGTTTGCTCGATTTGGGAATCAGTAGGATGCCATGAGTTTTGACACTCACAATTGACAACTCGATGTTTGGGCCAGCATGAAGTTGGGTGGATGCATCGTTGTTTCAGCGGGCAACAGCATCAGGGATACAACAGCTTGAGGGAATGTCCAATGGTTGAGATATGTCTTGAGACATTTTTAAAACCCACTGAAATCTACGAAGGAACTCTTGCTGGGGATATAGGGAGCAGCCCATGCTTCATGACATACTCCAGAGGCCTGAAGAACGAAGAAGAATTCAAAGAGAAGGCCCTCAGGACTTGGTGCGAAACTCAGGCGTTGAAACTTCGTAGGAAAACATCGATGAACATCGTAGGGTCCAAACCTGCGAAACGGATACAGCTCTGAAGATGGGGCAGAAGGCTCGTCCAGCAGGCTTCTGCTACTCGTAGAATCAATGGATAGGGGGAAGCGGTGGTCATCATTCTGGCGCAGAATGAGACTTGCAGCATTAAATCATTTTGGGTGTCCAGACTTTTGATACGTGTGATGCTCATTGATGTTCATTGATGGCCGAGGCAAGCCAGGGAACACTGAGCTGGTGGTGTGTGGCCAACAAAAGCGATGTGTGAAACGTGACTTTGGTCTCCGACGTAGAGATCATGTACAGCTGCTTTGTGCTTGAGTTCAGCTGGCAAGCACGTGCTGGAAAAGTTCGACCCTGTCAGGTTTTGTAGTGTTTTGGTCTCTCCGTCCTCAAGTGCAAGCTGTGAGATCAAATTTGAGCAGGTAGGGGTCAACTTCCCTTGGAATGTTGCTTGACATGGCGCAGTTTGCAGCTTCAACACAGCAAAACATCCGCAGGAAACCAGTAGGTCTCAAGGATTTTAGACATTCTTCAGTTGTGAACGCATGGAACCTTGGCTACACTAAGTGGCATTGGTTAAATCAGAGCCTGAGATTACATACAAAGATTTCAAAGTCCTTGGAACGGTGCCTTTGCAAAGTCATTGGCATTTTCTTTTCCTTCTGCTGCCGCCGCTTCCTGAATTCATTGCAACCCTTCCGTGCTTGGCCTCAGCTGGATGCGGTAGCATTCTGTTGGCATTTCATTTTGCTGAGTCGAGTTTCACCCTGAACATTTTGGTTGTGGTCTGTGCAGGAAGCTCAAAGTCGGAAGATGAAGGCACTGGAGTTTCTCGTTTCAGTTGACTGCCTGCCTGCCAGGCTTACCATGGGCAGCGGTGGCTCGGTTCAGGCATTCCAGCTGACAGCCGAGGAGGCTGTGGACAAGAAATGCGCTGTAAAGAGCACACCCGGAGCAATGACAACAAGATCAGCAAGACCTAAAACATGTTCTTCCTGCAAACATGACGTGCGGAGAAAGCGTTGCTACCCCAAAAAATGTCCCGAAATGCACAACCTCATAACTCTGGCACATGCTGAGGCGGTTGTTTGGGTTTTCTTCCCAAAAAATGCGGTTGACTGGCTTTGGTCCTTGAGCTTCAAAGATAAATCTATGATAATCTATGGAACTCAGTTGTGTCAAGTTGTGCCGATTCACCATGACCAATCCTTGGCCATGGAGGTCGCAGATGTCGATACCTTTATGTCTGCTGGCGGCTTCGCCCAGGCGAGATCTCATCAATCGAGACAGCCCTGCAAGCTTGTAACTTTGGACGGCCTGTTTTTTTCTACATAGCGTATAGTAGAAGATAGTAGATAGAGTTCTATTTTGACATATTTTGGCTTGTCTTCCAGCACAACTTGATGCCGAACGAACATTTCCTTTCGATCCAAGGCGGAAATTGTGCCAGAGGTTTAAGGGGTGTTTTGAGTGTGCCTTGCAAGGTCCCGAGTCTTAGGAGAAGAGTGGAGGAGCTGCAGGCAAGCGGCAAGGTCTTTGCTACCCATGCGAAGCAGATTTAGATGCGAGTAGCCGACACTATCTAGCAGCGAGCCTGCACAGTTTTTCTTCCAATGATACGAGTTTGTCTGCAAACATGGACACGTATTGCAATTTCGATTTCATTTGGAGTGCATTTGATATGATTTGACATACGTCATCATACGTCACAGCAGCGGCATCTCCAAAACTCCCATGTTTTGAAGTTGTGCTTGGTCCAGTTTGGAAGGCCGGAGCTGAAGAGGCAGAGAGACTCCAGGACGAGGCACAAGCGCAACTCCCAGAGGCGCCCATTCTGCGAGTGCAATGCAGAGAGGTGAGATGACAAGCAAACTTAACAGGACCCCCGTAAACATCGTAAACAGATATGATTTAACTTCCAGGATGTTGTTGATGATTTGTACCTCATTGTTCCCAAGTATCCAACGTTTCAATCTGTTTTAGAATTCCTATATCCACACACGTCAGCACAAGAACTCCGAGAAATGATAATTTGGCTCTTGGGATCTCTTTTTTCCTCCTGAGCTGTGAATGTTTGACAAATCCTGTTGATGCACGTTGCTAAATTATTGAATGTGCACAATGATGCACAATGCATCTTTTTTGTCAGGTGAGAAAGATGCATTTCTGAGTCGATGGGGCATCAAATCCATCAATTTCAGTTCTGCCAACCGCTTCACCATGCCCCCTCACCATGCTGATTTTTCCAGGCCGCAGTGGAGACCGCCCTTGCACAGGCAAGATTCCGCAAGCATTTATCCAATTTATCCTGTGATGGTGTAGTTGGCCAAGTTGGCCAAGTTGGCTAAGTTGGCTAAGTTGGCTAAGCGATTAAATATGGTTAATTCCTGTTGACCAAGGAGCTCACCATGTAGCCTTCTGTGTCGGAACAGTCCAATTTAAGGCTTGATATCAACCTTTCCCAGATGTTTCCAGTACATATTTGAAGAAATGCTGCCACACAAAAACAAAGTCAGTTCTGCAAGCTTGAACTGCGGGCTTGCTGAGTTTGATGTAGCAGGACGTGTCATTCTTTTCTTCTAGCATGCAACTTCATGTGGAACCCAGTTTGCTCTGGATTCAAGGTGCAACTTGCATCAGAAGTTTTGGGTTGCTGACAGAAGCTGCATTTGGTACAATGGCAAGGTCGCAGGGAGAAGAGTGGAGGAGCTGCAGGCCATTTTTGTGGCTACCTGTGCGAAGCAGGTTTCGAAGCAGCTGATACCGCAATGAAGCAGCAAGAATTTTCTTGCACTCTGCCTGATTCCAATACTGTAGCGCGAGTTGTTTGAACCCATTTCTGTGTCATTTCATGTTTGCAAACATTGACAGCGGTGGTTGAAGATGGGAGGGTTGGTCGCAGCATGTCGCAGCATTGACATTTGCAAAGATCCGCATCCAGCTGTGCTCGAGTCTGGAAGGCCGGATCCCTCGACTCAGAGAAACTCCAAGAGGTGGCGCAACTGAACGAAGAGGCACCATACGTTCGAATGAATCCCATGAGATCGTCAGAGATCGTTAGAGATCGCCAGAGATCGTCAGAGATCGCCAGAGACCGTCAGAGATCGTCAGAGATCGGCAGAGATCGCGAGACTTGTTTCTGCAACGTGTGCTTTGTTGGTCAGATTGTTTTGCCATGTTTTCCTGGACAAAGAGGGACTCGTTGGTAGCGTGGGTGTTGTAGGTTCGCTCATTGCGTCAAGCTGAAGCTGCTGCAGCTCGGCGCATTGAAGAACTAGAAAGTCGATTGCGAGAGGCGTGGTCAATATTGTCCATGCATGTCCATTCTAGATTCTTTCTGCTGCCTTTCCAAGTCACAAGATTGTAGACATTGTTGACTGCAGATGTCACAGAACTGAATTGTAGAAAATACATGCCATACTATGCCATACTCAAAGATCCTGCACATCAGTCACACATCCAACTAGGCATCCGGGATCCCACATCATCTGTATCTTCTGTCGTGCTGGATTGAGTCTGGAAGGCCGAAGCTAATGAGTCGCAGAGGCTCCGAGAAGAGGTTGCGCAACTCCAAGAAGAGGTGCCATACAGAAGACATTCTAAGACTTGTTCCAAGCCCGAGGTACACTGGTTGCACCAATGACTCCACAGTATGATATTTGCCATGTGTCCTCTGTTATGTCAGTCTGTCTTATGATGCGATCTGGACACTAGAACGTTCTCAAACGTAGCTAATATAATGTAATACTTTAGAATACTTTAGACTTAGACATACTTCAGACCCCAAGCACGAAGAAGGACTCATCAATGTTTACAGGTCCGCTCGTTTCCTCAAGCAGATGCTGCTGCAGCACAAAACGTTCAAGAACCAGAAAATCCTTTGCCACAGGTGCCATCAAATAGACTTCGCTTGAGCATATGCGTAAAACTTTTGCAGCATATTATGCGAAACAGGCGAAACAGAAGAACAACAGAACATTATAGACAGAAGATTTCGAGAGGATCGAGTCCAAATTATCGAAAGTAGATTTCAGTTGTGTCAACCGCTTCACCATGCCCCTCACCATGCTGATTTTTCCAGGCCGCAGTGGAGACCGCCCTTGCACAGGCAAGATTCCGCAAGCATTTATCCAATTTATCCTGTGATGGTGTAGTTGGCCAAGTTGGCTAAGTTGGCTAAGTTGGCTAAGCGATTAAATATGGTTAATTCCTGTTGACCAAGGAGCTCACCATGTAGCCTTCTGTGTCGGAACAGTCCAATTTAAGGCTTGATATCAACCTTTCCCAGATGTTTCCAGTACATATTTGAAGAAATGCTGCCACACAAAAACAAAGTCAGTTCTGCAAGCTTGAACTGCAGGCTTGCTGAGTTTGATGTAGCAGGACGTGTCATTCTTTTCTTCTAGCATGCAACTTCTTGTGGAACCCAGTTTGCTCTGGATTCAAGGTGCAACTTGCATCAGAAGTTTTGGGTTGCTGACAGAAGCTGCATCTGGATGCATCTGGTACAATGGCAAGGTCGCAGGGAGAAGAGTGGAGGAGCTGCAGGCCATTTCTTTGGCTACCTGTGCGAAGCAGGTTTCGATGCAGCTGATACTGCAACGAAACAGCAAGATTTTTCTTGCACTTCAAACCTTAACACTGCCTGATTCCAAATACTGTAGCGCGAGTTGTTTGAAACCCATAGCAGAGTCTCACCAACTAACAAGTGGGGAAACCCATTTCTGTGTCATTTCAAGTTTGAAAACATTGACAGCGGTGGTTGAAGATGGGAGGGTTGGTCGCAGCATGTCGCAGCATTGACATTTGCAAGATCCGCATCCAGCTGTGCTCGAGTCTGGAAGGCCGGATCCCTCGACTCGGAGAAACTCCAAGAGGTGGCGCAACTGAACGAAGAGGCACCATACGCTCGAATGAATCCCATGAGATCGTCAGAGATCGTCAGAGATCGCCAGAGACCGTCAGAGATCGTCAGAGATCGTCAGAGATCGCGAGACTTGTTTCTGCAACGTGTGCTTTGTTGGATTTGTTGGTCAGATTGTTTTGCCATGTTTTCCTGGACAAAGAAGGACTCGTTGGTAGCGTGGGTGTTGTAGGTTCGCTCATTGCGTCAAGCTGAAGCTGCTGCAGCTCGGCGCATTGAAGAACTAGAAAGATTGCGAGAGGCGTGGTCAATATTGTCCATGCATGTCCATGCTAGAATATGCTAGATTATTCTTTCTGGTGCCTTTCCAAGTCACAAGATTGTAGACATTGTTGACTGCAGATGTCACAGAACTGAATTGTAGAAAATACATGCCATACTATGCCATACTCAAAGATCCTGCACATCAGTCACACATCCAACTAGGCATCCGGGATCCCACATCTTCTGTATCTTCTGTCGTGCTGGATTGAGTCTGGAAGGCCGAAGCTAATGAGTCGCAGAGGCTCCGAGAAGAGGTTGCGCAACTCCAAGAAGAGGTGCCATACAGAAGACATTCTAAATCATTCTAAGACTTGTTCCGAACCCGAGGTACACTGGTTGCACCAATGACTCCACAGTATGATATTTGCCATGTGTCCTCTGTTATGTCAGTCTGTCTTATGATGCGATCTGGACACTGGAACGTTCTCAGTCGTAGCTAATATAATGTAATACTTTAGAATACTTTATAGACATACTTCAGACCCCAAGCACGAAGAAGGACTCATCAATGTTTACAGGTCCGCTCGTTTCCTCAAGCAGATGCTGCTGCAGCACAAAACGTTCAAGAACCAGAAAATCGTTTGCCACAGGTGCCATCAAATAGACTTCGCTTGAGCAGATGCGTAAAACTTTTGCAGCACATTATGCGAAACAGGCGAAACAGAAGAACAACAGAAAATTATAGACAGAAGAGAGGATCGAGTCCGAATTATCGAAAGTAGATTTCGATCAGGGACATCCTGCTGTTAGAGAATTCTCATTTTCCAGTACCTGAAATCTTGGAATTCTTCTCAGTGCACAACAGTCACAAGCAAGTTACACCTGAACCACAGCTGTATGAGCAGCGAAACTCTCACCCTGTTGGATAGGTTGACGTTCAAGAACCTCATCTGTACTTCACATTGCGAGACAAGCCTGCCATCCTGGAGAAAACGGCCGACATCCCCTACCACGGCCACATCAAGCGGGAAGAAGGCTTAGACTGCTACTTGTCCTTTCCTGGAAAATATGCAGCCGGTTGGGATGCATTGATCAAGGAACGTCACGGACAATCCGTGGCGTGCGTGTTCCTCTGCACTCCAGCCGACGGCCTTGGAAAGCACTATAAAGAAGAATTTGGTGGCCAGTGCTATTGCCCCACAATTTATGGGCAGCGGGACTTCAGGATTTTCGGTTACTTGAAAGAGCTGCCAGCATCTTGTAGCGAAGCAGAGGAGAAGATTGAGGTAGAGAAGGCGAAAGCCACGAAGACTGTTGTGGTTCGATCAGATGCCAGCGACAAAGACAAACAAGAAGCTGAAGAGAAAGCACGACAAGCTTGGGAGGACAGTGGCAGAGTTGCCTCCTGGGGATGCGAATGGTCCCACACGTGGAAGAAGCAGGTGGCCGAAGCCGTGAGGTTGAAGCAACGTCTCAAGGTAGTCTTCTTCCCTGCACAGACTGGCAAAGGTATAGTTTCTTTTGAGGATTTGAACAGAGATGATGTAAATCTTTGGGATGGAGTTGGCTGCGGTGGGAGCCAAAAGTGCGAAATCGCATACTTGGAGCGGATGAGGCAGCAGCAAGGAGAGGCTTGGAAATATGACCATGTCGATGTCAGCCATTTCCTGAAGAAAGAGTTCGAAATTGGCGCTAAAGTTGATGCGTGGGACGGCAAGCAGTGGTGCAGAGGTACTTTACTCGATGTTCCCTTGAGGATACCAGAGAAGCCCGAGGAGGCAAAATGGACCGTAGAGTCCCAAACGAAGTGGCACATTTTTGTTACAGATCGGGTTAGGCATGCAGATTTGATTCAGGCGATGCTTGCAGAAGTTGGGCGCGAAAACTTCGTGGACCTGGTGAAAGACTCATTATCAACAGATCTTGGGATCGTGACAAATCAGGATTTTGTATTCCCAGACGGCACACCTTCGCTCGCTCTCAGACTTGGGATTGACAACATTGCGTCTCTCCAGCATGTACGGAATGTAGTTTTGAATAGTGACTTGGAATCGCGCATAAATGAATCTTTGAAGAAGTGGCAAGTGCACGTGGATAAGACGCACTTTTGCAAGGTTTTTGAGCGAGAACTGCTAAACCTCTCAGACTTGACAGACCATCAAAAGGAGAAAGTGAGAGATATCAAATATCTCATGAAGCACGGGGATGTCCACTTGTCGGCTCCTGCAAATAGGCATTTTGGCTCAAGGTGATTGGCTCAAGCCGCCCAGGTTTGTAGCCAAGCAAATAGGCATTTCGGGCGCACTTTTAAAGCCATGGCGGGCTTGTTCAAAGCCATGCTGGCGGTGCTGGCCCTGTGCTGCGGAGGTGAGATGAACAGAGACGACGATGGACAATGGTTTGTGCAATGCCGGGTGTATTGCATCTTACTCACTGTCCCTTTTTTTTGTGCTAGCTACTTCGTGAGGTATCAATTCGTTGCATTGAATTTGAATTTTGACGTCCTTGCAATCTTTTCTGGTGTGTGTATGGGTATGGCTGCGGTTTCAAGACGTTTGTGCAGTAAAGCCGGTAAGATTGAATGGATGATGCAAAGTTGGAGCCGGATTTTCCACATCGTGAACTTGGTGAGGAAAACTGTGTGTGGGAGAAAAGTGTGGTGGCCTCTCTTGAAGATTATGGTGATTTTAACAGGTTGTGCTTGTTTTTGCTGGCTTGAGTCACCGTGGAGCTTCAAGTTCTATCAGCGCTTCGTGGCTATGTGGTCCACTGCTTGGATGCATTTGTGGGACCTTTGGGGCTCTTTTGCTGCTTTTGTATTCTTCCACGTCAAAGCCATGATTTTGCAGACTCATGCTTCGTGTGTTTCTGGACACACCGTGGATGGTTTTCAGGCAACTCCTGGATTCGAAATACCGGTGAATTGCGTTGCGCAGATGGTTGACACGGATTTCAAACCAACTTGGAATCATGGTTTGCTGTCAGCTGTGGCGATGATGTCTTATTATTTCGTGACCCTTTGGCAATTTTGCTCCACTAGGACATGCAAGCTTGTTTCATGGGGGAGCGTTTTTACAATGATGATTTCTGGGTTGGTTTTCTGCAACCGATCTCTTTGCCATGTCACGCAAAGGCCTCAGATTGCTGAGGTTGTCTCTGCAGTGTCACAGTGGTGCCAGCAGTTTCAATTCACAGGTGCCGATCTTGTTTGTTTAGGCCTCAGTTTAATTTGTGTGCGATGTTTCAGACAAGCCGTCATTTGGAGTTTCCAAACCAGACATGATGCTTCTGTTGCATACATGCAGAAGCACTTTTTGCGAAATGCCGCGGTCGTATTTTGCTTGCATACTTGTTTGTCCAATCCGACCAGCCTCTCTTTCGTTTTCGCCGGGGCCTACAAGGTCCTTGTCCTGATGTGCGGAAAGAAGAGAATAGTAGGTTGTGGAATAGCACTCCTTGGCATCATGCTCATGCGAATGTTGTTTTCAATGCATCGGTTCCTCACATGGAATGCACAGAAAGCGCTGCTGTGGTTCTGTCATCTGGCATGCAAGATCATGGTCATCGCTTTCTTTTTCCGAAAGCTGTTGACTGAACCTTCTTTTGTGAATCTGCTTTTGATTGGTTTAGGGGTTGACATCATCGATTTGGTGACATTAGCTGTTTTCAGGATAATGCTGTCACTTCACCATTTGAATGCAAGGCCAAAGAAAGTCTTCAAGTGCAGAAGAGTTGGCCGAAAGCGCTGCCGATTGCATCGTAAGTGCATCCGAAAGCCAAGAGTCAGTTTGTTTAATAGGGTAGGCCGTTTCCTGTCCTTTTGCGTACGTGCGCAGTTTTGCCCATTCTGTCAAAACATGCCTGAGCATTCGCAAGCCTCCCCGCCCAGATCTTCCTTCCGCGGGGGAGGTCGTAGAAACAGTCCAGAGACACCGGAACAGAAACTGCTGCAAGGTTTGCAGATTTTGTTGAAAGATACTTTGCAGGCCTCTAGCTCCGGAGCCTCAAACAAAAAAGGCAAGGGTAAGGGCTCCGGCAAAAGTAGTGGTAAAAGCCTACCTTCCAAACAGAGAGATGCGAACCATGATGGCAGCTATGGGCTGATTCAAGCCTTGCAAAAGCTAACTGCCCGAGCCGCAAAGAAACCACAAGGGTTGCCCCAAAGGTTGAAAACATTGGTTCAAGTTACTGAACGTGGTATGTTGCGACCAAACAAGAGAAAGAAAGATCTGCCGCCGCATGAGGCGGTCCCGCCAGTGAAACCAAGCACACGATTCAAAAGTTCAGAAAATTTGGTAGATGGTGCTCCTAAGCCAAAAACACGATGGCAACGCGACAGATCCTGGAAAGCCCGTGCCCAGGACTGGGGCGTCAAAACTGTTTTGCGTGGCCCCACAGCTCTGTGCAACGCTCTTGACAGTGGGGACACCGGTGCTCTCCTGTGTCAAGTACAAAATCTGGATGATTGGAATGAAGCCCTCCAAATTTCTCATGCTGCTGGTCGCACCAATGTCACGGTTGTTCTTGAAGCTGCACCTAACATGTCTCCAGAACTTGGCAAATTGAGATATCATGGTTGGACAGCCTTGAACACACGTGCAGCTGGTTATGCCGATGATAAATTGGTCCAGCGCTTGGTTTGGATTGCGCGGTGCTCGCCAAATGCACCCACATTGGTTCCAGGATCCGTGCTGACAGGCGCCAGGCGGCCTGTTGTCCAGAAACACGGCCATGAAGAGTCTTTTGTTTTTCGAATTAGTTGTGACATGCGATTTATTGCCAGTGACAATCGCCATCATATCACACAGGGACCTGGGAAATTTTTTCGTTTGTGGCTGTCTGATTTAGGCCCAAACGCTAGGGATCTTCTGCTTCACCTTGGTGACACGTGGGGATTCCAAAAACTCGAGGCTGAAAACCTGGTTCGAGGATTTGCTCGCGTCAAAGGCAAAGACAGGGCCCTGCAGTTGATTAAAGCGAGCGGCTCAGAACACAAAGGTCAGGTTTGGTTTCTTGATCCTGCCAGATGGGATGGCCTCGCAGAAACACCTCCACGCATGCTTTGGGTGGACAAACTGGAAAATGAACAACAAATTGCATTTGCTCGTCGCGTAGCTCATGATTCGGGTCCTTTTGGCATGGCTAGGGGTCGTGTACAGCTGGCTCTCAGGGTCAAACCAGACGATGAGCGGCTCAAACCCACTTCTAGTGTTTGGCGGGTTGAGACAGTGCCGTTTGGTTGGGATTTTGAAAATGTGGAAGAAACTCTGGTTGAAGCAGGTTTCTCTGAAATTGATATTTTAGCAAAGCAACGCCGTCGTGGTGGCACTGCTTGGGTTTTCAAAGGCATGAGAAATGATGACCGTGATCAAATGCAAATCCATTATGATGCGGACGAGACGTGCAATGAGCCACCATTAGATCTGTTTTTAGTTAAGCAGTCCAAACGACGTGCGCCAGGAAATGTCCAGCCGTTGAAAGCAGAAAATGATGTGCTCTTTTCACTAGATGCATTTCACAAAAAAGGTAAGGGTAAAGGCAAAGGAAAAGGCAAGCACAAATCCAAGCTTGAAGTGCCTGACTTTGCAACCACGCTTGCCTTACCGAAAAGTAGTCCACCTCCATTACCCTCCAAGGATGATCGCGGTAACGAAGCTATGGATGTCAGTCTGATTAGCGTCCCAGATGCAAGTGATGTTGAGGATGAGCCCATGCATGTCCAGGGCACCAAACGCAAAGACCAGGCCATGTTGACCAGCCCGCAAAAAACTGGTCATGACAAAAAGAGGATGAAAGTGCCCGAGAGGCTTCAAAAAGTTCCGAACCCTGGGGAAGGGAATTGCTTGTTTTACTGTCTAGCTCAGGCGGAGTCTACCCCAGGTAAGTCCCGCAGCCACAGGCAGGTGCGTGCATTTGTTGTTGCCTACATGACCAAACACTTCAAGAAATACGAGGATTTCTGGGACGGTTTAAGCCCGAGCAACATTCCCATGGAGGGTGGGTTTGACGATTATTTACAAGCCCTTGAAAAAGATAAAGCTTGGGCGGGATATTGTGAAATCGAAGCATATGGCGAAGCCATGCGCCGACCTGTACTTGTTGTGCATGCCAAGGACAATGTTGTCCATGCTTTTAATAGTCATGGCGATAAGGATGTTGTCTGTCTCTGGTACAAGGATGAACATTATGAGCTTATTGTTCCTTCAGACGCAGATATTCAGGCCCTGTGGCAGAATGCTGAAGACGGTGGCACCAAGGGTTACCGCGGGGCCGCAAAGAAGGCACGCTTGGCTGCCGACAATGCCTCTATTTGCCTTTCACAATTTGCAACTCCCAAATCCAGCAGGCCAAGCCCAAGGTTGACCGATTTTGCCCAGAGCACCCCTGCCAAACGGAGTGCATGTCTGACTGATTTTGCATCAACGGCCAAACCGAGCCGTCAAAAGACCGAGCAATCAGAAGCCGAGCCATGTGGTTCCAACCCATCTGCCGCATCAGCTTCTGCGTCTGTTGCCACTGGGCGCGACCGGGAAATCACGTGGACATGTCACATTTGCAACGTCTCTTTCACTGACAAAGCATGCATCGTTTCAAAAAGACGTACGGATCACATTAGGCGTACGCATCGTGGTACCCCAACCACCAATTTTAAAAAGGCTGTTGATCAGTACAGGGCTCCGGTTACTGCCGTATCGTATGGGCCCACTCATGCTGCTGTTTCTTGGACTTGTGGTTTTTGCATGGGCACCCTCCCCATTTTGCCTAAGACACATCAGAAAGCATCAATCGTTGCTCATTTGCGCTCCTGCGCCAAGGCCCCAAAAGGGGCCACCAGAGGCGACTCCATTCTTCGCCTTTGCAAGAGAGCAAGCGTGTCATCTGATGTACCTCACAGAAGCATTTTGCCTTGGAAGCTGAAGCATCGCCAGATGTATGTGCAACTCAACAAGTTTGCCAAGGAGCAAGGACACTCCCTATCCCAAGTGCAGAGACGTACTACTGGAACGAAAAAATTGGCTGGTGGGTCGAAAAAAGTTATTTTCTTCATGGCTCAGCATGCTTGTTCCATTTGTGCTGGTTACTGGAAAACTGAGAAGTCCGTGAGAGCTGCAGGTCCTTGTGGCGGGCGGACTGCTCGTGCCGAGTGGTTAGCCATGCCTGGTCGCCAAAAATGCTGGCGTCAGGCTCCCAAAGAGCGCCAAGAGGCGCTGCACAAGGCTTGGCGTTTGAGTGCTACTGAGCGTAGGAAGCTTGATGATGCTTGGGCTAGCGCCAAGAAAAAGTCGCGCAAGAAGTGGCCGCCTAAGTCATGGAAACGCGATTTGACTGCTGAGAATATACACCCCCATCCAGGCCCAGGCCATCCTGACCACTGGATTCTCTCGTGGAATTGCCGTGGATCGTGCAATGCTTGGAGGGGCCTAAACTTGCTTCAGGATGAGGGTAATTTGCCTTCTGTTTTATGTCTTCAAGAGCCTGACTTCGAGCCTCGTCAAGGCTCCCAGTATGTTGAAAGGCTTCAGAAACTTGGGTACAAGTGTTGGACCATTCCGGCCAAACCTATTCGCACACTTAAACGTGAATTTTACCGAGGTGGTCTTTTGGTTGCATTGCGAGAGCATCTCAGAGGAGGCATCTGGGACACACTGGCTTGCGATGAAGGGTATGTCATGACTTTGGATCTTCAATCGTGCCTACTTTCCTCAGTTTGGCGCCGGCCAAGCCAACTTGATGGTTTGCAATTTTTGGAATATGTTGCTACGGTCACTGAAGAAGCACAACGCAGGCAGATACCTGCACTTTGGGTAGGTGATTGGAACGAAACTCCTGATGACAACGCCGCATCCATTTTCTTGAATGGCAGTGTTCTGGCTGTCACGGATCCTGATCAATGGGTGCCAAGCCGGTTCGAAGGTAAAAGATGTCTTGATTACGGAATTCTCAGCGGCGGGTACGGTTTTGCTGATTGCCCGCGTTACAGTGAATGTAAGATCTCTGATCACAAGATGTTTTGGCTTAGATTGCGCTTGCCCATTTTCCAGACTGATACGTGGAGGTTCGCTTGGCGGCCTAACTATGAATGTCCTCCGGAAGTGCCTGTTGAGCAATGGCGGGCCGTGCTTGCAGAACAATGGGCCGCTTACGTGCCATGTTTTTCTCAGGATCCCGACCAAGATTGGGAATATTTTCACCAGTTTGCTGAAAAGAGCATGCGTGAAGCATTGCACTTGTGTGGCCAGCCCGTGCCTCGGCCAGGCCATGCGCGCGGGAATTTGCCTCGTGTGATCAAGGCTGAACGCCCCCAGGTGAATACGTTCCCTGCCAGAAAACTTGTTAATGTGCTTGGTCGTCTCTATGAAGTGAAGCGACAGTTAGCCAAGTCCCAGGGAGACAAAAAGCTTTTGCAAAAATTATGGTCGACTTGGCCGTCTGAATACAATGAGCTTTGGGGGTCTTGGAACCACGCTATTGAAGTGTTTGAACAACGCATTGCGCTTGAAAACAGGAAGTCCAAGAACCAAAGGCTGACCGAGTGGCGTACCAGAATGCGCCAGGGGGGCAAAGAGGTGACCCGGTGGATGAAGCCTCACAAACCTCCAACACCACGCTCTGTTTCCGAAGATTCTTGCGCCACGATTACGCAAACCCTTGATTGTATTCGTTCTTTTTGGCAGCGTATTTGGAAACGTGAGGACCTCGTTCCACACTTACCCCCGGAATTTAGAACAATGGAAGCCCTGGCTGGACCCCAAACTGATTGGATGCCAGATGCTGCCCTCATCTATCAGGCCGCTCTCAGAGCCTCGGGGTCTGCAGCCGGATGTGACGGTTGGTCCGGCAGCGAAGTTTGCCATTTCCCGCTTGTTGCTTGGGATCACTACCGTGATTTGGTTTTGCATTGGTCTCAGTTAAAACAATTCCCACAGGCATGGCTGCAGGTTCGTCAGGTTCATTTAAGAAAGGATGACAGTGGGACTGTAGGGTCTTTGCGGCCTATTGCAGTTGAAAGCATTTTTCTTCGGTTGGTCTCCTCATCTTATGTGAGGACCCCACAGGTTCAGGAATGGATTGCGTCTCGGGTCCCCGAGCAGTGCCATGGAGGCTTGAAATCCCGGGGGGTTGCCACGGCATGGAGGCAACTCAATGAAGCGTTTGAAAACCAGGAAGTTCTTGCTTCTTTAGATTTCTCCAAATGTTTTGATTTTGTCCACCCAGGTTTGGCCATTGAAAACATGCAACTGCAAGGGTTGCCAGATGAGTGGGCTAACATTTTGATGTTTGTATGGGGTCATCAAGTGCGATGGCTGTGCTTGGGGAAAGCTGTGCACCCAACGCCGGAGCATGTCCAGACCTCCATGCCGCAAGGTGATGCCTTTGCACCTCTGGCTCTTATCATGTTGCTCATTAGGCCCCTTCATGATGTGTCTTCCATTCCAGACTTGCGTCAGGTTGCATACGTTGATGATCGCGCTTTGAGCGCGCCTAATGTTCCACGTTTAATTGCTGGCATCCATAGATGGCGCAGCTGGAGTGCCACTTTGGGTCTCCATGAAAACGTTCAAAAAATGCGTTTAGTTGCCTGCACTGCGCAACAAAAGCAAGAGATCAATGACGCAGGGTTTGGTGAGTATCTCCGACCGGCCACTCGGGTCTTAGGTATTGACTTTAAGGAAAGTGACCTTATTGTTTCCCCTGTTCTTGAAAACCGTTTGCAAGAAGCAGTGTTTGCCGCTCACCGTTTGCAGAAATTGCCGGTTGACCGCGATATCAGGATGTCTTTGTACAGGTCCAGAATCATTTCACTCGCCACCTGGGGCGCTTGGTTTGAACGATTGCCGCAGTCACAGTTGCCTTCGCTTCGAAAGGCATGGCATGCCATTTCCTATCTGCAAGGTAACGCTTCGAGACCTCTTTTCAACCTGCTTGTAGGTCATATGTATCATGCTGAGTTTTGGGCCACCATGTCTTCCATTCGGACCATGCGCCAAGTTCGTGCCCCTTGGCGAAGGATGCCACGACCTGGAGGCTGGCAGAGTTTCATTTGCGCACGCATGCGAGAGCTGAACTGGGAATTTCGCGGTCCATGGATGTTTGCACATGAGGATTTGGGTCATGTCGATTTATCCAATCCAGATGAAGCTGTTGTGAAACTCACCGAGCACAAGGTGAGAGAAAGTTGGCGCCGAGTGCAATTTGCCCTTTGGAAAAAGCAGAACCGCCGTGATAGGCATTATTTGCTTGATGTGCCGTATGAGGAAAGTCGTGTTTCCGATGCCCGCAAGTTGTTCTCTCTCACGTGTGATAGTCATCAGAGGGCCGTAATGCTTGGTTCTGCGCATTCCACGGCATGTTATGATAAGATGCGTGGACACGAAGTGAGGGAACAATGTCCCTTTTGCGGTGAGCAAATCCCACCTGTCTGGGAACATCTCTCCTGGCATTGCTCCGCCGAACAGTTGTCTTCCGGCCGCCCTGAGGTCCCTGAAGATGACTTGCAAAATCGTCTTGCTTGGCCCACACGTGGGTGTGATGCCTATGATAGAGCGGTTCTTCACCACATGGCCCGGGTCAGGGCCACTGTGCGTGAAAACATGAATTGATCATGTCCCGTTGGCTGCGGTGTCCGGTACCTTCGGGTATTTGAGGCATCCAGTCGTTCAACCCATAATAAATGTCGGCTCCTGCAGGAGCTGGGAAGACATTTGAAGCTGCACAGTGTGCATTAGATAAGCTCAGAAACAATCCCGATGGACAAGTCTTTTTCCTGGCACCTTCCATTGCCCTTGGCCTGTACTTCGTGCGGTGGCTTGCTCAAAGCTCTTCAAACCGCGGGCAGCTTCACAAGTTGTTGAGGCGCATTGTGTTGATGGAACCCCAAAGCCAAGCTTTTCTGAGCTTGCGTATCAAAGGCGACCGTTTTGACTGGATTCCGTTGCCCGACAGCAAAAAGCGATTTCTCTTAACAATCATCGATGAGGCACACAATTTTTTCTGTATAGATGAGAACCACACTTTTCTGGAAGAGAAGATTGAGGCACCACGACAAGTGTTGCTCTTGTCGAGCGTATCCCAAAACTCATCTGGTGCAGTGCATTTTCCACCAGCGAAGGAGATCAGCCTGACACAAGTGGTGCGCAGTACGAAAAGGATAGTGGCTGGTGCAGCTGCATTTCAAGCAAGTGTGGCAGAAAAAGAGCAGATTGCTTCCTTATGCCCAGCTGGGCCTCCCCTGAAGGCTTTCCTCTTCGAGTCTGATGCACATGTCTTTGAAGATTATGCCAAACATACTGTGTCTGCATTGTTTCATGTGATGCGCATATATGCTGGCCTCAGCTTCCACAATCGCTTGGCCCTTTTGGTGCCCAACCCTGACTTTCTGGAGAAGTTCCAAGATGCCTTGCAAAGACACTTCAAGACGGCACGCCTTGCAGGGCGAAACTTCAAGCTGATATCGTTTACTGAGTCGCTACGCATGCTCCCAAACGTCAAAGTGAAGCAGGCCACACATGCAGACAATGCAGAGCTGATAGTGCTGGACACGGTGGAGAATGCAAAGGGACTGGAGTCACTCATGGTGGTGTGCATTGGTCTGGATCAAAAAGTTGGTGACCAAAGTGCAAACCAGGTGGGGCGCTCAAACATATATCAAGCAATCACTCGGGCGCAGCTTCAGGCAGTGATTGTGAACCAGCTCCTCCGAGGAGGTTGGCTGGAATTCTTGGGGGTCACAAAATTCAAAAGTGATACCTTCAATGAATCCACAGCTATGGCCGAGACCACCACTGCTGCTGCTGAAGCCTTGACGAAAGTGCAGCTGCCATCGAAGTTGGCAATTCAGGCCTCGCAGGAAGATTCATCGCGAAGAGAAGATGCCAGGGCGATCCAAAGAGGTCCTCTGAAGCCAGATGCTGTGCCACCTTCAAAGCCAATGTTGGAAGAAGGTCAAGACCCCACAACTGCACCTGAGGCAGGTGACAAGCCCGATGACAAGTTGGTCGAGATCAAGGATTCATCTGTGTGGGACGCCGATGTCATTGACATCAAGGAGCCGATCTCACAGCTGCAGTTTGACCCTCGATCACCCACGGGAAAAGCTGAGGAAGAGGTAGCATCCTTGGAGGTGCGGAAGTATCGGTGTCTCAACACTGTCTTTGAATTTTTGAGAGGTTTGATATGGGGCACTTGTTTTTCGTGTAGAACATGCTGTTTGCTGCCGTGCCCAAGACCCTCCGTGTGAGTTTCTTGCGATGTTGCCCATCCAAGCGGCAGGCTGAAGAAGTCCGAGAAGCCCAAGAAGCTGCCGATGCAGAGGAAGCTGCAAGATGTCAGGGTCTTGGAGAGGTTCTTCAGGATCTTACAGGATCTTGGGATATCTTGGGGTCTTAGAGGTTGAGATCTTGCAGATCATCGCTTTGAGATGCGAGATATGATTTATAAAAAATTATAAAATGATAGCGTTGAACAGCAGGCAAATACGGATTGAGTGCAAGTTGGTTGAGATGTATTCAGATGTGAATATAGACTTAGTTGAGATCTTCGGACACTTTTTTGCAACAGTTCCGTGACCCGTTTCTGAGTCTCACAATGCCATGCCTCTAACCAGTTTAGATTTTCAATTTGAGATTATCACGTGGAGATGATGACACGATAGAGCAGATCGAACATGGAAACAATGGAAGCCGCGCAACCTCACTGAGACATCTTCTGTATTTGGAGGCGTTAGTTGTATGATCCACAATTCCACATCAGAGGGGCTGTGAATATAATTGGATCTAGTTTTGGCAGAGGCATTTGATCCCTTGCAAATGCCATGATGCCACCACACACCAATTACCATACAACTGATACAATCCACATTCACACATTATCTGTACATATCTGTACTATATACAGTCATCACTTTGACACGAAGAAGATGGTAACACTCGCAGCTTGCATACGTAGATGTCATAGATGGAGTACAACCTGACAAGACTAGTTTGAGACGCCAAGTGACCCCAGTGCCCTATGAGCAAGAGGAATTGAAAAATTGGATCCAGGGCCTGGCTCCACATGTGACGCTAAGATGCCAAGGGCCTTGGATCATACGTTTGAGATGGTTTGAGATGATAACATGTTAAAGTTGAACAACTGGAAAAGTGACCTCAAAACCAGATGTTTCATGATGTTTCTATTTTCGATAGTCTTTGTTATATACAATCCAAGCATATCCAAGCATATCCAAGCCATACAATACACATCAATACACATCAATACACAGCTATACGCATCAATACACATCAACACACATCAATACACATCAATACACATCAATACACATCAATACACATCAATACACATCAATACACATCAATACACATCAATACACATCAATACACATCAATACAATACACATCAATACACATCAATACACATCAATACACATCAATACACATCAATACACATCAATACACATCAATACACATCAATACACATCAATACACATCAATAATACACATCAATACACATCAATACACATCAATACACATCAATACACATCAATACACATACACATCAATACACATCAATACACATCAATACACATCAATACACATCAATACACAACAATACACAACAATACACATCAATACACATCAATACACAAAAATACACACCAATACACAACAATACACATCAATACACATCAATACACAACAAGACACATCAATACACAACAATACACAGCAATACACATCAATACACATCAATACACATCAATACACATCAATACACATCAATACACAACAATACACATCAATACACAACAATACACATCAATACACATCAATACACATCAATACACATCAATACACATCAATACACATCAATACACATCAATACACATCAATGCACATCAATACACATCAATACACATCAATACACATCAATACACATCAATACACATCAATGCACATCAATGCACATCAATGCACATCAATACACATCAATACACATCAATACACATCAATGCACATCAATGCACATCAATGC